TGCCATCATCAGAACCCTTTAGAATCTGTAAGTTTTTCTGTATTGTCAGTTTTAATGGGCTGTTTCTGTTTCCAAGGAAATTTATGGTGTTTATAAAATCACAAGTGTTGACAGTGTAAAATTTTAATACTGTATTCATATTGCTTCAGGAAGGTATTTAGAAATGAAACCTTTTATATTTTAGCAACCTGCTGCACATCACACAGTATCAAATGTTACTTGTTCCACCATCTCATGTGCAACATGTCTTTCTGTAGAACTTATTAAAGGTTTATTCACTTTAAAAGTTTTGCATGTCATATAACTTTTAACTTTTTAAAAGTTTTTCACCACATGTTTAGACCAATATGGTCATCATCAGGTGTTTGAACTGCTGTGCTTCTGTTATCGTGGCTTCGGTTATTCATTTTGTAATGTATGGTCCCATCTATGTGCATGTGTATCTGTAACTTGTATAAATATCTTCTATTAGAATTTATGTGTATGATGTGTGTTAAGTACAGTATGATTACTTGTTTATGTACTTACTCCAAGTGATGCGTTGTTCTTCCTGTTGTGTTGTGCTATGTGTCTTTTTTTTTACAAATGCTTGCTGAGCTGGATTGATTCCATCTTTTATAATGTGTATGTGTCACTGTGTGGTGTTTAATTCTTGTAATATTTCATATATTTGGGCACGCAGTAGCGTAGTTGGTTGAGGGGAAGGTCGTGGGTTCAAGTCCCCATGAGGTCATTGGAATTTTTCAATTGACCTAATTCTTCCAGCTGCACTATGGCCCTGGGGTCGACTCAGCCTCTTAACAGAAATGAGTACCAGGAATTACTTAAATAATTTCCCTGGGGAGTAAAGTGCAGCCGGTGCATAAGGCTGACAACCTTACACATCTTTGAGCTGATTGTTTAGATAATGTGGAACCCTCAGCGTCTCACAACCCTATGGGCCTTCACGGCCTGGTACAGGGATAGCTTTACTTTTACTTTTTTACTTCATATATTGGGTTATAGATGTTAATATGTGTGTCATTCAGCAAGCATTCATAAAAAGACATATCACAACATGACAGGAAGAACAATCCATCACTTGTAGTAAGTACACAAACAAGTAATCATATGATACATTAACACACATCATATACATAAATTCTAATAGAAGATATTTATACATGTTACAGATACACATGCACATAGAGGAAACCATACATTAAAAAATTAATAACAAAAGCTATGATAATAGGAGCACAGTAGTCTCCTCAACTATAATTTTAAACACCTATGATGACCATGTTGGCCGAAACACGTAGTGAAAAACTTTTGAAAAAAGTTATATGATGTGCAAAATTTTTAAAGTGAATAACCCTTATCAAGTTTTATAGAAAGATGTGTTGCATGTGAGACAGTGGAACCAGTAACATTTGATACTGTTTAACAAGCTTTGCCCAAAATCAAGAGCTTGATCAATCAGTTTAGGAACTCAGCATATGCCAATTTTTTAAATATTGATATGTTGTGATTTTACACCATTTCTCCAGTAATAATTATGCAGAACAAATTTGAGAAATGAAATATTTTGTAAGTGTCGTTAGGATAAGGTAATGTATGCATGAAACTCTCTTCTGAAGATATTGTCACATGATGTCTGAAGGAAGTAATTTCATAAGCAGCACCTGTTTAAATTTGTGAAATCTGCAACAAATCTTGAAGATTGTGGTATGCAAGCAGTGTTCACGGTTCTTTTTCTTTTTTTTTTCTTTTTGTAGCTGTAACTAGAATAAGAAGAGAGATAAAGGAAGAACATTTTTTGTTGCAGGTGGCACAATATATATTTTGAATGCCAAGTTTCTGTGCTTTTTCATACCAGCTTAAATTTCAGACTTATAGTTTAAAAGTCATATGACATAGGTGAGGGTGAATTTAAAAATATGGCAGCAGTTTACTTTGTTTTTGACATTGCATTTTGGTAAATACAAAAAAATGTAGTTTGCAGTGAAAGGACATAATCAATACCTAACTGTAACCAGCTTGTACATTACAGAAGAATTTGTAGAGAACATCAGTTTTTATAATACCTCATTTGTGCGTAGAAGTTCATTTAATTTTGTTTCCAGGTTTTTCAACCCTGGAAGAAGTATTTTATTTATAGTTCATTTAACAATGATGTTGGCAACTCAGACTTATTCACGATTGTCTAATCGTTTAACACACTGTGTAGTTTAGATAGGAAGTTGTTATAGTGACAGGCTATGGGCTGGATGGCTGGAATTTGATTCCCAGCAAGGGCAAGGATTTTCTCTTCTCCATAATGTCCAGACAAGCTCTGGGGACCACCCAGCTCCCTATGCAGTGGGTACTCAAGGTAATTTCCCCAGGGCCCAATGACAAGAATGGTAGAGCTGTACCTCCACTTCCCCATATACCTTCATGGCATGGTGCTTAATTAATTAAGCACGTGGAACACTTTACCTTTACTTTGTAGTGTAGATAGGTTTACATGCAGAGGATTAGTTCTAACAGCATTGTACTTTTTGCATGTGGTTGAAGAAAATATGAAGTTCTTCATGTTAGAAAACTTGAGAATATGTCACAATTGCTCCTGTTACAGTGAATGAACTGCCAAAATAAAATCAACATGATATTCCTTCATCAGTCATCTATTATAATAGATGCAATAATTCCATGAAAAATAATTATTTTTCATGGAATGATTAATATGCAGTAGTATTTGATGTGTAGTACTGTTGTTTAGGTCATGGCTCACTTATTTAAAATATGTTACTAGTGTTATTTTTTCAGATAATTTTTTTCATTTGAGGTTAAATGAAATACTTTTACTTTTCTGCAGGTATAAAGGTTAAGAAAAATAAAGCTTGTGTATGTAACTCTGGTAATTATTGCAAGGGAAAAATACAGTTATTTCCCTCCACTTCAAATTTAAAAGGGAAAATGATTTGAATATGTTTTGTACATATATAAGGGAACTTAATACTTTTATGGCTTTCCAGAGCTTCAACATATAGGGATCATATGGGCTATAATCAACTCCTTTCAAACCCTACTTATTTGCCATTTTTTATCACCTTCCTATGTCACTCACTGCTATATAATCTGTGTGGTTGAAAAACCTCATTAAATGTCATAAGAATCAGCCAGTGTCTTTATTATATACTTGTTTCAATATGATGATGGTCTTTATGTGTATTCCACTCAGGCCTTTTATACACATACTTTAATTGTTGCCAGTTTATTGATTTAGATATAACCCACCAATTACTATTAATTCCATGACAGATTTGTCACAAGAAAGGGGAGACAGAAGAAGAGCGGAAACAAAGATTAGAAAAACAAAGGTCATACTATTTCAAGCGGAGGGTACATGAAACCCAGGCTCAACGAGAGGAACGTTTAAGAAAAATAAAGGAAAATGCAAAAAAACGAAGACTTAAGGAGACTGAAGACGAACGAGCTCTTCGTTTGAAAGAAAAACGAACATATGAAACACAGCGATTAGAAAATGAATCTCCTGAGAAACGAGCATTGCGTTTGGAGAAACAGCGATTATATCAAGCACAGCGTGTAAAACATGAAACACCTGAGGAACGAGCACAGCGTTTGGAAAATAAACGGTTATCATATCAAAGACGGCAGTTAATTAAAAACAGTCTGTTGCAATAAGGTGAGTGAATTGTTAAAATCTTATTTAAAGAACACACAGTCTGGAGTAACAAGCAAAGAAATCAGTAATGTTGAACTTCTGGACTAGAGCACTATTTAGAAAAAGAAATGTGCAAATAGGACAAAGTTATTGTAAACGTAACACCTGAAAATCAAGCATTCTGTTTGAGCAAGGTGAGAAGGAGAACCGTGAGTGCACCATCAACTGAAATATGTTTAAAGATAAATTATCTCAGATGTTACTTAGACACATCTCGAACTGCAGAACTGTAATGGAAGGACATTACTTGTACTCATGTAACTCAGTTTACAGTTTATTATTTAGTGTTTAAAAACTTGATGTTTATTTGATATATGAAAGCTGTCATCTATTCCCCATCTCTATTTTACTTTTACTCTGCTATGTAAAGGTCATCATGTAAACTTTTTATTCTGTCATATGTTAGTTACAGATGAGATAGATGTTTTTGTATGCATGGTTAAAAAAACTTGTATATTTGAATGTAAGTGGAAATTAATATACCAGATGATGAAGTAAGTTGATGGGTCAATATATTATAGACAGTGTCACGTAACTTCGAACAAGGCCCCACATTCATAGTCAAATCCCGCGCATAGCTTGTGGTGGGAGGAGTTTCTTAACACTCGTTCTTCCACTGGCCGCCTGTCACTTCTGACACCCTCCACCCCCCTGTCTGAAATTTTTCTTCTGTGCATTCAAGGTTACTCTTGGCCTTGTTCAAAGTTACATGACACTTGCTATATACATATATGAAATAATGATAGAAAAATGTTATACATTGAACTCCTGATCACCTAAGCTTACAATGGGGATAAGATGCACAAAAAATCGAAAACTTAGGATAATTCATGATATTTTGTTTTGTATTTTTATAACATGTCACAAATTGCTTCACTTCTTATGTTCTAGGTCCATTAAAGTGATATTATTTTGAACAATATTTCATAGTTTTCTTTGTTCTTGTGAGTTGTTTTGACTTCTCATGGCAGTTTGAATCTTTCTTGACACTGTAGTATTACTGTTATAGCCCCTCACCGGTCCATGTGCTCTAGAAAAGTATCAAGATACCGTACTGCTGTGCCCTCATTAAAGTGATCACGCTTTCCTTCATTACTCTTATCCTCCTCATTCTCTTCCACATCCCTTTGTATTGTGGCTGCACTGATACTATCTGCATCAGTCATGTAATGAAATTTAGGTTCACACACATTACTTTGCAGGCATTCTTCAAAGTTTTCTTTGGTGATGTTTTAAAATAATTTTAAAACATTCACTGAATCAGTAATTTAGACTCTTTATTCTTCCATAGAGAAACCCTGAAAACCATCAGCCCCTACATCTGGAAGAAGTTTTCTCCATATCAAAAAAGTGTTACTGGTTCCACAGAAGACCACACAAGAATCACACTGATGTATGTAGTACTGTCAGAATATTTTTCCAAAATATTATGAGACAAGATGTGAGAAGGCTAGCCTGGTAGTGTTGTTTCATTCGTACACTTACATTTTGATCTATGGGTTGTATTGTGGTTGTGACATTGAGGAGCAAAAGCTTTACAGTGATGAGACTATTGTCTGAAGACAGTGCTGTCAGATGATATGCATTGTCTAGCAGTAAAACTGAAATATTTTCTCTTTCAGGAAATGCCAAACTTCTGGAATAAACTTTTTATTGAATCAGTTTTCAAAAATACCTTTATCTCTGTGTTCCTTGTAATAATGAACATAAAGGCCATTTACTGCAGTGGCTTCAAATGATTATGGCTTTATTGCTTTGCTAGTCATTACAGGTTTGAAGAGTACTGTCTTGTGGGATAAAATACAGTTAGTCTGTTAAAACTCAACCGATGTTATGGAGAACATATCACCTCCATCTCGAGGGTCGAAGAATAAACCGAGCAGGAAACCAGCGTGAAAGCACAGCTCTACTTGCCACCTGCTTTTGTGCTGGTTCTTCCTAGATGTGTTCTTGAACCCTCAAGAAGGAGGTGATAAGTTCCTCCAAAATGTTGGTTGAGTTTCATTGGGCCAAGCAGCATCCCAGAAGATAGTACTGTTCATAACCGCCAATGTGAGAACCGCAAACTCTACACTACAAGTTTCATTTTGTATTTTCTGGATGCGTTTGCATAATACCTGATCAAAATATACTCCATAAATGACTTACACATGGGTGTTTTTCTTTCAAAAACAATGGTTCTTGTAGAAAACCTTCCAGTATAATCCAGATGTGTCAGCATTGTAAATCAGAGTTGTTCTGATACAAATTTCCTCTACTAGCACAACCCATCTTCCTGCTACAGCTCTGGATGATATTCAGTGCATCATTACACGTGAATACAAAGACATTTGGAGCAGTATCATCCCCTTCCCTCACCTCCATTATTATTGTTAGACTATCTTTCCCTTTCCTTCTCCAGCCTCCCCACACTTGCTGTTAAAAATGAAAGAATGATGGAAGCGTAGTTCAGATTCATCTGCTTTTGTACAAATTTGTAATTGTATAGACCCGATTAATCATGCATGCACTCATTGATAGTGGGACAGCGTGCAAACTGGATAATACTTGGTTTAATAGTTGGGAGTTGCTTGTATTAAACTGTATACCAGGCACATGCTTCAAATATTGAATCATATTTGAACCACTGCACTGCATACAGGCATATTATATCAATGCATACTGATTTTTGCCATGACCAAATTGGGTCATAAACACTTCAGTTACATATTTTAAGAAATGGGTTGCATCTGTAACAAGCAACATGTAAAGGAGCGATTTACATGAACACTGAAGGAAAATGTCATGTACTGTCACTATATCAATTATACGTGTCATACCCCATTTGCATAATTGTGTATCGTAGGAATAGCAGTGTTCATCAAGAATTTGCTTACCCACACATTTGCTGATGTATGGTGGATACGTAATCATTCATTTTCGTTATTTGGTTAGATATTACCTTAAAGCAGACAGTGAACACTTTCTCCTCACCATTCATAATCATACAGTGATTGGGGCAAGAAACTGACATTGATTCCAGGCAAGGGGATGGACATTTCCTTTCCCACCATGTCCTTACCAGCTCACCCAGATTTCTGCCCACTGTGAACAGAGTTCTTTCTCAGAGCGTGAAGCTTCTTACTCATTTTCAGATTAGTGGTGTACGGAGTTTCATCTTACCCATCATACACCTTCAAAGTGTGGTGTCAGAGCAGAGGGTCAAACTTTCCTTTATTTTCATTTTATTTTACAAAATTTTGGTAAGTGATTCACCTTCATAAAATTACATAAGAAACAGCTGTGGCAGCTTAAGCACTGAATCCAAGACAGTTGATAAACTATATGTATTGTGTTGTTACATTGTCATAAAGATCTGTTAAACTTTCCCATTAGATAGAATTTTTCTTTATTTCTTTAGATGTATGGTAGCACAAAAAGTGGAACCATATATATAAAAGTCAGAATTACTTTTGACTTTGTCCTTTGTTCAGTATTCTGAAAACCAGAGAATACAACCTTTTGGAAACTGGATCTATTTCCATCCTCAGGTGAAGTGGGAGACACCTACTCTGTTCAGTTCCTTAGAGCTAGCCTCAGTCACTGAGTAACCCATTGGCTTCAGTAAAAAGTAAGCAAAGCTATTCCTGTAACAGGCCTTGAGGGTCCCGCATTATCCAGACAGTTTGCTCAAAAATGGCAGTAAAGTTGTCAGCCTTATGCCCCTTACTTCCCAGGAATAAAGCTATAATATAGCTATTTAATTACCTGAGACCAGGCTAATTTGGAAGGAGATAACAGGAAAATATGGAATAAAAATTGTGATAAAGCACGCACATTCGTGGAACTAGTATAGAAAGGGAGATAGGAATTTATTATACAAACCTAGCCAACAAAACCAAGTTGATGAACACCAATGCATAGAAAAAATGGAAACTTTGTTAAGACATGTAGTGCCATCTGTGAAGTAAAATATGAACACTTGAGACCAAAAACTTATGAAGAATCTGTCAAGTCATACAGATCTTCCCTGATTGCTGATTACCTCATTGCTAATAAGGGGTATCCAGATGGGAGAAATGTCCAGACTGGGTTCGCTGGTCGGATCTGAATTAGCCTGGTCTCAGGTAATTAAGCAGTTGTAGTGAATCTGACAGGGATTTCCAGAGATTTGGGTTAGCTCTTTCTAAGGGACCTGACAGAGTAGGTGTCCCCCCCCCCACCTAAGGATGGAAACAGATCCAGTTTCCAAAACATGTTTTCTAGTTCATGGAATACTGGACGATGGACAGAGTTCAAAAACCCAGTAATTCTGAGAATTATACATCACTGTCAGAACCCTTTAGAATCTACTTGTATGTGAAAGTCTTGATGAGCACATTTAATAAGTAATAGTATTTTAGCTTTTAACAAATAGTGTCATGATACATTATTACACTAGGTATGGAGACTGGAGCTCTTATTAATACATAGTTGATCTTTTGGGTGAATTTGAGGTAGAATTTTATTTCAGTTATCGATTCTAGCTATAGGTATATTTCTCGAACTTTCTTTTTAATAATCCTACTTCTATTTAGATATGATGAAACAAGTATTGTATAGAGAAACAAAACTATTAGAAATTTCAAGAGTTAGCAAACATTTGTAATGGTCATAATTTTAGTTGTAGCATATTATTGTGTCTTATTACTTTCATTTTCTTTAATCCTTTCATTCATATACCTAAGGTTATTAATCAAAGTAATTATAATGGTTACACATTTCAGTGACTCATAAGTCTTAGGATTAACCATTACAAAAACTTATGTTATAACCTTTAACTTTTGCATCCCGTTGTTTTTTATATTAAGTTATCAGCAGAACTGTGTTTTACCTCTTTAGGAATTATCCATACAAGTTAGTTTGGCGTTTAATATTAATTTAAAGTTCATTCCACTACATGTTTCGACATGTATTGGCCATCTTGAGATTGTGTAATGTCTGACACAACTGGTGACTTGGTATTGCTCTTTATGATGTGTTATTGAAAACGTGTATCCAGTTTTTAACAAGTTGCATAGTTTTTTATTTTATTTTGTGATCACATGTGTAGGTGGTAAAAGCAAAAAATGATGTAAAGGAAGATTCCATGAAGTTGTACTGATAGTTCCTAAATTATAAAATATAGTTTTACTGATGACTTACATTATACAATTTTCAGTGAGTATTTGTAAAAAAACATAATGTTAGCATGTTTCTTCCTCCTGTATGGCATGGCATGACATGCAGTGTGTTCCAAGGCTTCTCAGTTTTCTGAGTTTTGGAATCTTCATAGACATTTGGTAGGATTCTTTGGATAGGTGATTGACCCATCCCAAGTCCTCTATGTACATAGGACAAAACAGACACAAAGAATGTAGATATACATCCATTTCCTCTGAGTGGGATTCAATCCCATGATCCCAGTATTGCGTGGTGGGAGATAGTACATCCCTTAGACTGGGGAGATGCTGCTGTTGGTAAAATGTGAGCATTACAGTGTATAAATAACATGTGATGTGTGTGTACTTTTCAAACGGTGGATCCATCCACTTTAAACATTTACTTGTATTGTTACAAGAAAACGGTTTTGTTTTATAAAGATACTGCCATAACATAGTAAAGTGCCAGAACTGATGGTCCTTTGAAAATTAGAAACATTCTGGGTGCATTTCAGTTTCAGTGCATCAGAAATACTATATTCATCAAATGGGATTCACTAACAGTACAGTGTGCCAAGAGCACGTCAATGCAATTTGGAAGATAAATCCAATGTGGGATATATGCAACACTAGTGCAAACCAGTCATGTGTACAGCAGTCTTATGTAACATATAGGTATTGCAAATTGTTAAATAGGGATCACAGTTAAGTATAATTTGATAGAGTTAATTTTCCCAATATGTCTGTATTAAAACAGAGTGCAAATCACCATCTGAGTATATGTAGTTAATTTTCTTAAATTAACCAGATGAATTTGCAACACGGGTATTTTAAATTTTGTATTTTTCAAATCTTAATAGTTAAGTTTCACTTTAATATGATATGCCCCCAGAAGATGGTCTTGTATAACTGAAACATGTCAGGGTTTTAACAGCATGTAATCAGTATAAGTAAATAAACTATATATGCTTGGAAAGTGGCCTCCGTAGTCTAGGGGTAACGTTCCCACCTCATGACTCAAGGTACGCGGGTTGAAACCTGGCGGAGGTTGTGGAATTTTTAAGGGGGGAAAAATTCAGGGAACAAGTCCTCCGGTAGGGACTTTAAGCCGTGGGTCCCGTGTCGTAGATATATGGCACGTAAAAGATCCTCGTGTCTCTAGGACACCTCTGAGCAAAATTAGGCAAAGTTTCCCACCCAAGTAGTTTCCAGTTCCTCTGGTAGATGGGGAAGTATCGGAGACCACTGTCAGAGAGGGCCGACCTCGCTGGCAGAACGGGGCTGATAGCGAGCACCAGTACTGGAAGGGCATGGTGACTGGTAGAATATTAAAGGTGGACGCACAGTAGATTAATAACTAGTCGCAGTGCATGGGGAAACCCACCCCCTCCAATAATAATAATAATAATAGTATATGCTTGGATGGTGATTTACATCTTGTTCAAACAAATGTGATGGAGAAATATCATGATACCTATGTTGATGCCATTCAGTTTATGACATAATTAAGATTCGCAGGAATACAGGTGGTGGCACAAAGGATTGTAACTATAAAAGCCTTAATTTGTTCCACCACATTCAAACTTCCTGCTCCTCAGTAGACAAGACATGGCAAGGGAAAGAGTAATCACATAAGTTGTTATTGCTACAAGAATATAATATTCTGAGGTGTTCAGTTCCTCATTTAATTTTATAAAAAAATCGTTAAACCATAACATTAGAAAATTTTCTATGGCTTCAGCTTTTGGGAATACATTGCGTGGAATGTGTAGGGTTCTCCAATGTTTTGACAGATGTTGCACCTGCTACCTTCAGGGTCATTACCCCAGATGATGCCAACACTGCTGCAGGTTTGAAAACCCAAGGACAGAGATTAGAAAATTTGTCTAATTTTACAGAAATTTGAGAAGTCAAAATGTGACAGCATTAGCCAAATTGCACACCTGCTGATGTATAAACTCTGACAACATATATGCATAGTTCAGAGTATAACAATGCTAAGTACAGTTATCTCAGAATTTTTTAGGATATACAGAAACCATATAAAATCACGCATGCAGGACGTTTCAATTTAGATGACCAGTATTTCCAATATTTTATGACACTTTTTGATAAAAAACTGTAAACAATGACTTTAAATGTAGAAAGTGGATGGATCCATGTAATTATTTTGATTAATAATTGCTGATGTAGATGAATAAAAGAATTAATTTGTAATGGTATTCTTGCATATTTTAAAAATGGAAACACATACATTCAATTGTTTTTGCTTGGACTTTCCCAGTTACTGTTTCAATCTCTTATGTCACCATCAGATCTTGGCATTAATAGATTTACGACTGTCGAATGACATATCCACTAGTTATTATATGGGTGTTTAATACATTTCTTTGTGTATTTTTTATTTTTAGTATATAAATAAAGCAACAGACACATTTAGTTTATTATGCATATATTGTTGTGTTTCTCAGATCTTATAAGTGGTGTATTAATGCTCCATTTTTAACACCTTTCAGCAGATGAAATTAAACATACATTATATTTCATGTTTTAATGGAAGACAGATTGTGTGTATATAACACCTAGTTTGAGAATCAGTTGAAATTGCAAATGGCCAAACACACTAGAGCAGAGACAGTAGGTGTAAGTGAGCCTAATATGCAGAGGTTTGTTTCAGAGGTAAAATGGTGGTATGTAATGCATTGTTTAGTACATGTTTGAAGTAACACATATACAGCAAACTTTTTTTTTTTTACATGGTGTCATAGGTTTTATTGAGGTATGGCCA